GAGCCTCACCTTCTCTGGGCCCTCCCGCAGCCAGTCAGACAAACCAACGTCAGCCAAAGCCCTAAACACAGCAGCAGCAGCAGCAGCAGCAGCAGCAGCAGCAGCAGCAGCATTAGCAGCAACAGCGGTAGCAGCGGGAGTAGCAGCAGCAGCAAGAGCAGCACGAACTGCAGCCGCAGCAGCGAGACTGTCTACAGCAGCAACAGCACAGCAAAGGCAGCAGCAGCAGCAGCAACAGCAGCAGTAGCAACAGCAGCAGCAGCAACAGCAGCAGCAGCAGCAGCAGCAGCAGCATAATCCCCACCCAAAGAGCCGCTCAACAGCAGCCTCAACGCGGGGTGTATAGATAGGAGAACCATCTGAGCCCGTCAGCTGCAGCAGAAACAAAAAATAAAAAAAAAAAAAAAATAAATAAATAAAAACAAATAAAATAAATAAATAAATAACAGAAATACACAAGCAGAACGGAAGCAGCAGCAGCTGCAGCAGCAGCTGCACTAGTAGCAGCAAACAGCCAGCAGCATTACGGACGGCAGCAGCAGCAGCAGCACAGGCAAGAGCAGCAGCAGGAACAGCAGCAGCAACAGCAGCACCAGCATCACCAGCACCAGCAGCAGCACGAGCAGCACCAGCAGCAGCACGAGCAGCACCACCAGCAGCAGCACGAGCAGCACGAGCAGCACCAGCAGCAGCAGCACCAGCCCCAGCAGCACCAGCAGCAGCACGAGCAGCACCAGCAGCAGCACCAGCACCAGCAGCAGCACCAGCCCCAGCAGCAGCAGCACCAGCCCCAGCAGCAGCAGCAGCAGCAGGAGCAGCAGCAGGAGCAGCAGCAGCAAGCATACCCCGAAGAAAGCAGCAAGTTGTTTAAGGGTTTGTGGTGCAGCAGCAATATTGGGGTGTATGATGAGGTCATCAACTGTCTCCTCATTTATAAAAAGAGAGTCAAAAAGAGGATCTATAGAAAGAGAATAATATATATTTTTTATACGGGAGAGAGACAAAGAAGAAAGCCGAGAATCTATGCTTTCTTTTGGGTTGCTGCCGCTGCTGCTGCTATATAAAGGAGACAAAGAGACAGGTGGAGATGTGCTGCTGCTGCTGGGAGGAGACACCTTCGGGAGGAGACAGTACTGCTGCTGTCTTTTGTTTACTCTCTCTATATGCGCTGCTAGCCAGCTAGATACCTCCTATATAAATAAATAAATAAATAAATAAATAAATATATAAATAAATAAATAAATAAATAAATAAATAGATAAATAAATAAATATATAAATATATAAATATATAAATAAATAAATAAATATATAAATAAATAAATAAATAAATAAATAAATTAAATAAATAAATAAATAAATGAGTGTTTATGGAGGTTAAGGAGGTAATTAGTTACATGGTTTGTTGCTGAGGTCTGAGCATATATATATATATATATATATATAAGAGACAAAAAAGGAGACAGAAGAGAGACAAAAAAAAGAGACAAAAAAGAGCCAGAAAAGGAGACAAAAGAGAGACAGAAGAGAAACAAAAAAGGAGGCATAAGAGAGACAGAAGAGAGACAAAAAGGAGACAAAAAAGAGACAAAAGGAGACAAAAAAAAAGAGAAAAAAAAGGAGACAAAAGGAGACAGTTATATTACCTCGTCAGTAAGCTCAGCAATAGCTGGGGGCATAAAGGGGCGGAGACGATGCCAGCAGCGGGAGACCCAAACTGCTGCTGCTGCTGGTGTCTTCTCCAGTCTAAAACTCTTGCTCTATACACACCAGCAGCAGCAGCAGCAGCAGCAGCAGCAGCAGCAGCAGCAGCAGCAGCAGCAGCAGCAGCAGC